ACGACGAACAACCCTCGTAATCCTTGCATATCCTTTTCTATTCCTTGATACTTACACTTCAATTACATATTCCATTAATAATTATTTGACGTCGTATTTGAAATTAATCAAATGATTTTATAAAATAAATAATAATTGAATTGAACAAATTTGTGTGAATAATTTATGTATATAATTTTGTAACATTGTAAACCTCAATTTAACGCGAGTTGAACAACAATCTATAATTAGAAGCTAGTACATGACAATTATAATTGTCGCAATTAAATGTAGAAAAATAGATAAATAACTATTATATTTTTATTATATATTATATTATATTGAGACTAAATAAAAAAAATAGCACCTACTGAATTACTTTGTTGATTGCAAGGTAAAGATTGCCTGTCGCTGATCTACGATATGATCGAGAAAAAGAGAAGGAGAGAGAGAGAGCGAATTGCTCTTAGGTCCTAAATCAATGGAAGGCAAAGGTATTCTATTGAATACGAAATCCTTCGTAGGTCTACAATATGGCGAGAGGAGTAGAAAGACTTGCTTCACTAAACTTTCATGAAATTCAGAGTAGCTCTCTCAACGGAAGACAATGTTCTATATCAAGAATCATACTCTTCCGGCAACTTACGATACGGCCGATAGATATAATCAGGCGTCGAGGAAGAAGAAGAAAAATGAAAAGACAAAGAGAAATAGAGCATGGTACGTAGAGAAAATTTTCAGTAGGGAATAATTTTATTATTAAATATTTTATCTTCCACAATCTGTCAAACATTAGTCACCCAAACATTGGGGCAAAAAATTATCGTAGAAAATATAAATAAAACTTTTAAAATTAAGAGTTAATAAATAAGTTAAAGTCAAATTAAATTCAATCGAATTAATGTAAATAAAATTGGATGGAATACCTCTTGGAAACAAATTTTGCAGAATTTGGTCTAATTACCGAAATTATTCTGTTATCAGAAATGACCGCCGCAAATTTCAAAAGCGTTATGAGGATTTGAAATTAGTACCAGATTGCGCGGTGGATTAAGCGATGAACAGTAGAAAAACAGATGAAAGGGCATGAAACAGGATCAAAGTCATGGAACGGTTGAAAAATGGCGGTCATGAAAACCGAGATAGTAGAGGTATTTGTTAATAGGGTTTCAATGAAATTTCGTCCTCGATCTGTCGATCGATCGGGCCGTTCATCACTTCTCATTTTCCCTCGTTAAAGCCGACCTCGGCCATGTGAAGACCGATTTGCATGTTGATTTATGTGTCGAGCTGTCAACCATTATCGATATGCATCAAACGATGCGACTTTGTCCCTGAAATTTGTCCCGACTTTACCTTTTAATATAAGAAAAGCGAAAATATCTTCAATCAACAATATATTTAAGCCTTCGAAAACTATTTATTCTATTGAAAGATACTTAAGTAATTCAGCAATAAAAAATATCTGAGGATGCAACTCTATAATTTGATAATATAGATACTTACTACATTTAAAAATATGAGAATTAATCTTTTTTTTATCTCCATAATAAGATCAACAATATTAATTTTACTCCATAGTCTCTACAAAATTTCAGAAAACAACAATGTCTGCTGTTTAATCACTTCTGCCAACTATAATTCATTCTCATGAGTATTATCGGTTTTTACTATTCTACAACTATGATTATAATATTTGGGAATTAACATAAATGTTAATTAATTAAGTTTAATGGACCTGCGATGCAAAGACTAAATAATAATTAAAAACAATCGTTACATATATTGTGGTGTGCAATTTAACGGATATAAGTATCAAAATACACGCCTGTTGTAATGTTCGGTGGACTTTAGCGCAATGAAAATGTCATAATCAATTATCTGGCAGTTAAAACAGTCAATGTAACGGAATCATAAAGTAGCTGTTAAGATTTGCCACAATCATGGAAGAGACATGCAATTCTAAGATTTTCTTCAAAGCACAAAAGCGATCTCAGCAAAACGACTTTATTTACTTTGCGGCATCCGAAACTATCACTCAGAGTGATGAAACGAAAACAGATGACGCGTCAGAGGGAATCGAGCAAATAACAAAGAAAGACAGACGCGCGGCCGTTTTGTTCTTCTCGCGAGAAGCCACGGATCATCAAGTATCGCGAAGCTCACCAGTTGAGCGCGAAAATACAATCGAGAAAATTAGAAGTCGCGCTGCTGAAGGACATAAATGCGTCTTCGATGTGACATACACTACAAAACACGATCGTTTCCTTAGTGATAAATTTTTTACGTGAATGAATTGCACATTTAGCAGAAAAGAAATGCGATGGAACAAATATTTTCTGGATACATAAATTAGATAAATTAAATTCCAAAATTATGAAAAAAGGAAGACATTAAAACACAAAGATATACAATAAATGTAGACAAAATAAATATTATTTGGAAGAAATATAGTTGAAAAAATATTGTATATATCAAACTATTATATAAATTAATTTAATTGATTTCACATCTTTGCTTTCTCATCGGGCCCAGTCGATATCAAAAATATCGAAAAAGTAGCGAAAAAGAGTAAAAGATTCAGTGCATTTATCATTATTCTACCTTGACAACTACAACATCGATTTAGAATTTGGCAAGAAGATAATAGTGACTATGATAATGTCTTTTAGATTCCATCCTTGTTAGGATGCCTATAATTACAAGATAATCCTAAGTTTGTCACGATTAATGCGAGAAGATTCTTCGGCTGATGCGTACCTGAGCAATCCTAAAGATTAATCAACAGTAATGCAGCGGATCGGAACGGCTCGCATGCTTTGGACACATTATTGGTCTGCCAATCTGGACATTTTCGACGATAAATCTCTTGAAAATCAAGTGAGCGAAACATCGGCGATCCGATTAATCGCTTCACCCTCGTAGAGATTAGAATCGAGATTATCGCCTGATTCCTGAGAGTACCAATTCAGAATTCGAACCCTCGGCGGCAGTGCTGGAGAGAGATGGACAACACAGATCGAAGTTCTGAATCCTCTTTGACAGTCGGGGTTTATCGTTAGAATTCACTTTCTCCTTTAATCCATGATGAACTGCACAGAATAAGATTACGTTTATATTGGATTTCTTTTCATTTCTTCTCAATCTAGCCTTTAACTTGTTTTATATAAAGACTATTTGTTTTACATTCTTTGAATTTGATCTGCTTTCTTAACCAGAAAAAAAGATAAAAGCTTTTCTTTCTTCATTAATTACTCTCATTATATTAGGTTGTGTAATAAGTAATTTCGTATCTTCCAATGAACAATGTTATTTTTAAGCTGTGCGCTTTTATACGCAACGTGAAAAAATCGTGATACGGGCGAAACTTGATTATAACTTCGGCAAACGAACATTTAATTTACGTCTTAATTAAAAGCGCTTTACCCGACAAAAAACCAGACAAATTTATTTAAAAAATCCGAAGTCACTTATATTACGTGATCCAATAAAACACTTGATATCTATTTAAAAATAATAATAGTGTAAAATTTTTATGCGTCAAGTCGAATATTGTTCGGATAAAAAATTGGAACAAGCGTTTTTATTAGATTTAAAAATAAATTATCTCTATATTCATTTAAACAAGTGAATTTATACAATCATTATTTCAAAAAGATACAAAATTAAATTATGATCTCTAATTACAGACACAATGTTTTATTAAAAAGTTTCAACCTCGCAAAAAAATAGAGCAACGAAAGCGACGTGAATAAATTTCTGAGTGGGAATATAGAATATGCTTTCATCACTTAGGGCAGCCATCATGAACCACGAGCAAGGTTATTTTACGGATTTAATTCAACCCGCGTAATCGGCCGTCCTTGCCTTCTAACGAAGCTATTATGAAGATCAAAAGATTCGACCTGAGCAAACGAAAATATCTCCATCAATTTCATTAATCTCTTGAAAACCACGATTTCACCTTCGGAAAAGTGAATCGCACTGAGGAACGAGTGGCACAGCAACGATAATTAACATTCCAGCTGGAAGAAAAACCGCATGGAGTACCAACGATAATAGAAGACAGAGTGGCTGGCAGTGCTCTGTAAAGAAAGACAGAGTATGCACAGTTCTCTTATATTTCTTCACCATTCGCGGTACGTGTTGCAGTCAGTCTTTGTCGCCAGAGGCTCTGATAAACTTTGGCTGAGAGTAGCTAACGCTACCCGAAGAATCAAGAATTATAAACAGCTGGTTCACGAACGGCTAAGCCATTCATTGAGCTGGAAACAGCTGATTTCCATTAGCAGCGGCGGCTAAAAGCGTCGTATCCGAGCTATGCTCGTTGAACTCTTGAAGACCCTCGTTTAATTAAGATTCCTCGCTCGCGATCTGGCCGCAATCGCGGCAAGTCAATCTTGGCCCTCTACAAGTTACGTTCTCGTCCCGATTTGCTTTTCTCGAAAAAAAAAAAGATCAATTCGTCTCATCGAGCCGAAGAGCTTAGGGAATAATACTTTCGTCGCGCCTGAAGCGATTAGTTGTCAACGATTCGAGGCTGAAACGCCGAACATCGTTGCTATTTGGGTAAATCACTGCGAAACACTGAAAGGTCCGCTGGATTATCATCGGCATCTGGAAGCTCGACGGGGACAATCACTGTCCTCGAAGAACGAGAGTCTCAATCGACAGTCCGCAATTCGACACGGAGGTGATCGGATTGCCGTATATTTCGTACGCCGGCGATCGATCTCGTGAATCGATTCCGTTGCCGGACGGTGAGGGATTGCGCCGACAGTCCGTACCCCGGCTCACACCCTGGTCTCGTTGTACGAGCTGGACGAGCCCGCTCCTTGGCGACGCTGCCGGTCGGCATCGCCCGGCACATTGAACACAACGTTCGGCACGGTCGCCGGGTCGACCGGCGGTGCTTGCTGATAGTGCGACCGACCGGGCTGTGATTGGTGAGAGTGGGAGGAGGACGAGGGCGCGGTTTCGCTTATGGAAGTAATCGAGGCGAGTATACGCCGACCGCGTACCTGGTAACGTTGGGGGTAGCAGCGTCCGCAGCAGGACTGCAGCAAGCCGCCCCTGGAGGCAGTGCTGTGCGCGGGGGAGGTCAGGGGTGACGGAGAACCCGGCCTCTTCGGGGCACCGTTGTACGGCACCTCCATCTCCACGAATTCGCGATCCTGGAAAAAAGAAACAGACAAGTCTTGAGTGAAAGATTTCCACGATTAATGCTGGAGATTGCTGTAAAAAGAACTTGTGCCGCGCGTAAGAATTTATTCGCGTACCATAATTCTTTGACCTGTGAAAGAACTGTGTTCTAACATTAAAAATGTAAAAAAAAAAAAAAAAAAAAAAAAACACGAACAAGATT